CACACACACACACACACACACACACACACACACACACACCACACACCACACACGCACACGCACACACACACATACACACACACGGGCGCGCGAACGCACACACACACACACATACATATGCATATACGGATAGCATAATCGCATTCTAAAATGTATCAAAACATTCATGTCTACAGTTCACAAAAACGTTTTCAAATGTACAATAATATTATGGTGGGTAACAGTAGTTGACCACTCTTTATGGTCCAATAAATATTTAGACAATACTCAACACATTACGAAACAGCTGTAGTGAACAGCCAATGTCGGGGGTGAAAATAGAGACATGATAATACAATGACATGTATCAAATGTAAAGGAGATTTTGCTCCTTAGAACAATTCAAAGAGCATGCTCCATAACAATACGGTACTTCAGAATTACAAAGTGCTATCTGACATTTTTGGCAGTTTTGAGTTACTAAGAAGACTAAGAGGTCGGAAACCAAATGCTCAATCTCCTCTATCAAAATCGAAAGATTATTCGGCGTCATTATCGAGATATTCAAAGAACTGCATTTGAAAAAGCTTGACATGATGTGAAACTCAAAATCTTTGACGTCAAATTTCTCAAAACTGGGTACCGTGCAGACAGAACGTTGAAATTCTGAGGTAGCGAATAATAATTAGAAATACAAAATAACGGAGAACAGAGTCTGTAGTGTTATGGTCAGGCTGTATGTTATGCCATTCCAAGCGGAAGACGGGAGTTCGTATCCCTTTTCGAGGAGTTCTTTATTTATCAAGTACCTTCATCCTTCGGCAAGGATGCTGCATTTGGCTCTCAGCCTGGACCGACTCTGAGAGACAAGTGGGCCGAAGCATCAACCCTTCTGAATGAACTAAATTATTTTCTTGATGGGGGCGTTAAATACACAACAGGTGTTTAAATGTCTTGATTTGATAAAAAAGCAAATATATTATCTTTTAGGTATAAATGACTTACAATACATGGATCACACTTTTTACCCTGCTCTGTTCACAAAAAAGAACATTGTAGAAGTTGTATATCTCTATCGAGACTATAGATAAGGTCATTCAGAAGGCGGGCTGCTTGGACCTTTCCTGTAATGGCCAATCCAGGCCGAGAGGGGATGCGACGTCCTTGCAGAAAGACGGAGATACATAATGAAATGAAAAATTCTCCCCTCACGGGAATCAAACCCACGTCTTCTGCGTGTGACTGTCAAATGCCTAATCGCTATACATGTACCACAGACTCTGGTACGGTTTCTTTAAAACAATGATATGGTAAGAAAAGATGTAATCTATGGCGTGAACGATCGTTGTAACAAAAACAGGGTAGAATTCTTTGTACAAATTATATAAATTACCGGATCATAAGCATGCGAATAAGATGGCCTAGAGTACTGATTCTGTGCATTAGAGACTTTACGTTGTTGTTGTTGTCTTAGAACGGAGGTCATAAAGACATGACTTGCAGTGAGATCAAACGTCATTTCCTCTTTGAGAAATGGTATGATACAAGGCCTTTCTCACCTTATTCTTGTGTATTCGAACAAACTTTCAATTATGTCCTTGTTTTATTTTCATGGTAATCAATAAACAGGCCAGGAGTGAGGATTATACACGTTGTATTAGCCTGCTGTTTATCCGCACTATAAAGCTGAATGCAACATCAAAATACACAGACATGTTCCACAATAACAACATAGCCTGACAACTGCCAATGCAAGTACATGGTGCTGGGTCAAAGGGCAGAGGTTAATCCCCGCACAAGTAAATTGAAAACAACAACCAGATTTACTGAGATTACATACATTTCTGGCGGTGTTTCACAATCCATATTGACTTTCCACTTGCCCTTCATTTATTAACACACACACACACACACTCTCTCTCTCTCTCTCTCTCTCTCTCTCTCTCTCTCTCTCTCTCTCTCTC